TTTCTAATTTTGGCATATAAAAGGAGGCATTTGCCATGTATTTAGGCATCTTGGTTTCCAGATCAAGATCATGCTCTTGCTTTCTCTCTTTTTATTTTTGCAATGCTTAAGTTTTGTTTTTATTAATATCTTATTTATTCCTTTCATTTCATTTGCTTTCCTTTACTTAGTTAACTTTTATTTTATTTATATTCTTATCTTATTTATTTATGTTTCTCTCTTTCATTATGTTTAGCTAAGTTTATTATGCAAAGGTAAAAAGGTTACAATAATGGTGTAAGAATAAGTATAGTGTAAACTTATCATGGACTTTAATGTTTGATACTAACATGTGTTGTATTTGTTATCTTGTTCACTCTTAATACTTTCCTTGTTAAATGGTTAATCTAGATTTATGTTATATAACACTTAGTATAATAAATACTTAGCACTTTCATAACCCAACCGTACGGTGTAATCAACACTTGTGCCATGAAAGGAACTTGATTTGTTGTTAACATAAGTTATAATCATGAATGTCTGACAACATTTACAAGTATTAGCATTATTCGAATAAGATGATTAATGTAATCATGTTAACAATTAATAATCCGATTGGAACCTTCTTCGTGTGTGGTTTCCAGTTGAGTAATAAAGAGTGTTTGTACTATACTTGTTTGGAATATCATTAATGAATTTTCTAACCTTGACATTTGTTTTTATCATTGTTTGATCCTCACATTAATCTCCATCTCAAAGTTCTCATCAACTTCTTTATTATTGTTGTTGTTGTTGTTATTGTTGTTGATGTTGCTGCTGTTGTTATTGTATTATTGTTGTTTATAATTTATACAATTAACCTCCTTATGGTTCAACGCCAGTCTTGCCGGGTTATTTATTACTTTGACATTCCTACACTTGGAAGAAGACATCAATCTTTTGGTCATGTCAGTATCTGATGATTGATATAGATATTTATATTACATGTATTTGTCCATCACACATCATTTTTTTATACTGATCTAATCATGTTTCTTGAGATATCCATAAAATCTGATATACTATGCCTTTCAATATTTGAGACAGAATTAGTCAGTATACAATATTGTTTTATATTTAATACCAGATTAATTTTGACTTCAAAAAAGAAAACAAATCCTACCTTTAGTGAGTAAATGTGCTTCTCTTAGTCTGTAGTATTCACTTTTTTTGAATGACATTCTTTCTCTTTTTTTTTAAAGAATTATCATTTCGTCTTGATTAAATTGTTTTCTTCTTCTTAGAATTCACTTTTTACTAGTGTTTGCCACTATTATTTAGGTTGTGTTTATTTCCCGAAAAATGGTTTACAAAAAACCATTTTCCGAACTTTTCTATATTTGTTTGCCATTAGAAAAATTGGTTTGCCATTAGAAAAATTAGTCAATAAAAAATACTTTTCAATCAAAGAGAAATTTAACTTGGTTTCCAAGAAAGTATTTTCTTGAAAAATTTAGACAAAAAACACTTTTCGGAAGTTGTGAAAAATTTAAAAATATCATATTATTTGTTGATTATATCAATTTGATCTTCAAACTTTTGATTGTTATATATATTTTGTTTTAAATATTTATTTTTCAATTTCATCTCTTAAAATTTAATTTTTATATTAATTTTGGTTCTTATTTTTATAATTGTTTTTTTTTCCTTATCATTTTTTTTATTGAAATTTTTTATCTATCAAATTTGGTCCTCATTCTTTTGATTGTTACTTATTTTATTTGAAATAATTTATGAAATGTTAATTATTATTATTTTAATTTCTTCATCTTTTATTTTTTTATTTTTTAAATTTGATCTCTATTATTTTTATTATTATTTATTTTATTTGAGATAATTTATGAAATTATATTCTTTTTTCAACTTCATTCTTATTCAACATTTTAATTTGTAAGATTTGTTCCTCGTTATTTTAATAAACTTGAGAAAAATAAAAAATTAATAAGTTATTTTCTATGACATAACCAAAAACTGGAAAGTGTTTTTCAATTTATTTTTCATTACACTATCAAATATTAAAAAATAATTTACTTTTCTAAAATTTATTTTTTTCAGAATTCACTTTTCAAAAAAATTATTTTTCAACAAACAAACAAGGACTTAAGATCATGCAAAACAGTTTCATGGCAGAGTCCATGACTTGCAGGTTAGAAAAAATAATAAAGATACTTGCCTTGAATGCCTTAGTCACGTTATAAAAATTATTTTTATTTTTATATATTTTAATTAAATAAATTTAGAATTAAAAACTATTAAAAAAATAATAAATATTATCTCTAAAAATAAATTATTTTAAAAATAAATTCATTATTTTTATATCTTTATCCCTACATGTTTTTGTTTCTATTCTCTGTCTTCTTTCTTTTCCCAGCTGTAACCAATGAATATCTAATGGAATAAATACGAGGGACCAATGGTCTTTTAACTGATTCTTTCCAAATGCAAAATGACAACCCATTCTTTTGGCAGATTATGCAGCCCTTCTTTAATTAGACCTTCCTGTAGCCTTCTTATCGTGTGGACTCTGAGGTCCACGAGTTGACCTGTCTTGGCCCTTCTGAAGTCTTTTTTTTGGGTGCCAAGCTATTCGAATGAACTGGTGCTGAATTATCAAAATGGCGTTAATAATCCTAAAATTAAGGAAAGAAAAATCAGGCGAAGGCACCTTTTCCATGGAAATGATCCAGAGCCACAAAATCCGATATCCTCTGCCTTCTATTTTGTTTCTGCTTCACATGTTATCACTTCACCTTCCCTCCTTAGCTTATACTCTTCCAGACAAGTATTTCATCAGTTGTGGTTCAGACACCAATAGTACTGCTTCTGGCCGGACCTTCATCGGGGACTTGACTTCTGGGAATTCTGGTTCCTTCACCTTTACAAGGCAGAGTAGTCCTGTTAAAGATAGCAACAAGTCAACAGCCACACCACCTCTCTATCAAACAGCAAGGATTTTCAGAGAACGATCTTCTTATGAGTTTGTGATCAGCAGTGCTGGTACTTATTTGGTACGACTCCATTTCTTTTCTTTCTCTTATTCAGCTAACCTCTCCACAGCCCTTTTCGATGTTTTGGCTTCTGAAATTTCACTCGTTGATAACTTTAGTGTACCGCATAGGAGCAACTCTCCCCTAATAAAGGAATTCTTTATTAACATCACTGTTGGCAAATTTCCGATATATTTTATGCCCCAAGGATCATCTTTCGCGTTTGTCAATGCCATAGAACTGTTCCTTGCCCCCGAGAACTTCATTCCTAGTTCCGCTCCACTCTTAAGCCCTGCTGGAAGTGAAGGTAGTTACGAGGACATACTCTCTAAGGCTTTACTGACTATCCACAGAATAAATGTTGGAGGCCCCACACTCTCACCTGAAAACGACACTCTATGGAGATATTGGGTCCCAGATGATAGTTTTCTCTATAGTCCAGACACTGCCAAGAACATCAGCTTTCTTTCAAGTAAGCCTAATTACCCAGGAGGAGTTAGCGAATACATTGCCCCTGATTTGGTCTATCAGACTGCCAAGGAGATGAATATAAATAGCAGTAGGTCTTCAAATAACTTCAACATAACCTGGTCTTTTAATGTGAGCAAGAATGCTATGCACTTTGTTCGCGTTCACTTCTGCGATTTTGTAAGTGCATCACCTGGTGTTTTGTTGCGTTTCAATCTCTATATCTATAGCAACTTCCGTCTTCAAATCAATCCATATGAAAAAACTGGCCGGTTGGCCACTCCTTTCTATTTTGAATTTGTTGTAGATTCTGATGATTCTGGAATTATGAGGATCAGTATCGGCCCCCCTCAAGATTCTGAAAATCATACTGCCTTTTTAAATGGGCTAGAAATCATGGAGATAATGGGGGAACTCGGAAAGGTAGCAAGGACAAGTGATCCCAAGAACAAGAACACTAGTGTCTTTGTTGTTGTTGGCTCAGTTCTTGGAGGCTTGGTTCTCATCTGCATTTTGGCAGTTGTTTTATGCTTGGGTCGAAGATGCAGGAAACGAAAAGTAATGGAGACTTTGGATGGGTCACCTGTGCCGGTAAATATAGGAGGGAGCACTGACAGTAGGCTGCAGGTACCTGAAGGTGCCATGTTTGGCTCCTTGACGCCTAATTTAAACCTTGGATTGAGGATCTCTTTTGCTGAAATACAGTTCGCAACGAACAACTTTGATATCAAAAAGAAAATTGGCAAGGGTGGATTTGGGACTGTCTTCCGAGGAACTCTGAGTAATGGCACTGAAGTTGCTGTGAAACGAAGTGAGCCAGGGTCACACCAGGGCCTTCCAGAATTTCAAACAGAGATAATCGTTTTATCTAAGATTCGCCATCGCCATCTTGTTTCTTTGATTGGGTATTGTGATGAAAATTCCGAAATGATACTGGTTTATGAATTCATGGAGAAAGGGACATTGAGGGATCACCTGTATGATTCAGCTTGGCCTTCCTTGCCTTGGAAGCAAAGACTTGAAATTTGCATTGGTGCTGCAAATGGTCTTCACTATCTCCACAAAGGATCCTCTGGGGGATTTATTCATCGCGATGTCAAATCCACTAACGTCTTGCTTGATGAGAACTACGTGGCCAAAGTTGCTGACTTTGGGCTTTCAAGGTTATCAGGTCCTCCCGATCAAACTCATGTCAGCACAGTTGTTAAAGGCACCTTCGGTTATCTTGATCCTGATTACTTTAAGACCCAACAATTAACAGAAAAATCTGATGTCTACTCATTTGGCGTAGTTCTTCTTGAGGTTCTATGTGCAAGACCTGCTATCAATACCTTGCTTCCACTAGAGCAAGTAAATCTAGCTGAGTGGGCAATGTTCTGCAAGAAAAAAGGAATGCTGGAAGAGATTGTGGATGCTTCAATAAGAAGCGAGATCAACCTCAATTGTCTAAGGAAATTTGTTGACACAGCAGAGCGATGCTTGGAAGAATATGGTGTAGATAGGCCTAATATGGGAGATGTGGTGTGGGATTTGGAGTACGCATTGCAACTACAACAAACTGCTATGCCGAGGGAGCCACATGAGGACAGCACAACCGATGCTTCAGCCATGCTAGCACTGCCTAATATTCAACATCTTCCTTCTCTTAGCATGTCAATGGAGAGGGATGATATGTCCATGTTGAGAGAGGATCTGTCAAAGTTACCGGAAATTGAAGTTTTCTCCCAATTAAGAATTGATGATGCCAGATGAATGCTTCAGGTATACAGAGGTAAGTGTAGCGAAGTTCTAAGTTCATGATATTTAGCCTTGCACAGACTGAACTGTCTTCTTTCATACGCCCCTCTTTGCATACTTCCTTTCGATTTTTGTTTTGCGTCGGATTAACATTGCTAATCAAACTGCAAGGCATGGTTATAACAGCAGAATTTTGCAATAAACAAAAAGCAATTTGGACTTTGGTCTTATATAATCCCTGCCAAGATATGCTTGATCTGTTTGCTTCCAGATTTCAACTTTCTGTATGAGAATCTCAGAAACAACCATCAAAAGTAAACTTTCCTTGATCAAAAGACGATTATTGGTGAATGAATCGAGAAGAATAAATGCCCCTACCAAATTCAGGGCGTTCCTGTTAATGTTTTTGAGGAAGCAGCAATGGTCTTAGAGCTTACCCTGCTTCCTTCTTTGAAGGCTCAAGTTATAATATGATGCTGCCATTCTTCAGCTATGTTCATGCATGAATGATTCGATCGTGCCCTTTACTTTACTAATTTTAAAAAAAAAAAAAAAAAGGAGTATATATAACTGGCCTGTGAAAGATAAATATTCACCAATCAATTCTATGATATGTTTTTAAAACCAATAAATTTGTTTTTCAAGAAAATCCATGCTTAAACACTGCTACATGTTTTACTGTCTTGATATATAAAAATATCATGGACCGTTTAGTGTTTTTTCTTTTCTTTTAATTGATTTTATGGATGTCTAATTCTTTCTCACTTATAATACAATTTATGATAGTAATACCATTACTGAATTCTTGAGTGAATTCACAAGCATAACAATTCTTGATATTTGTGAAGAACAATATTTAAGAAATGAAAAGTTCACTGATAATGAGTGTAATAAGGTGCCCTGAACTTTTTTCTTTGGGAACCATAGCAATTAATAAAAATAAGATTATGCAGTAGCTGCTCTTTGATATTTTATACAGAAATTCAAAACGATATATATATTGTAAAAATCAGAAAGAAAAGCACTTCATCAGTTGACTTATTTTGTGTATATATATTGTTTCTCCGACGCTATAGGAATTATATGATGGAAGAAGCAATGTGAGATTCACAGCTTGGAGTGGTAACATCAGACCTTCGATCGAGGGCTTGCAAGAAAGGAGGATCTATCAAATATCTTTCTTTTCTCTTTTCATGTAACCTAGTAAATGGACCTTCATTTTTCTAGACATGGGCCTAAACAGCACAGACCTGACATGGGTTTGTGACGATGAATGAAGTTTAGTTGCCTCATGTTATCGTGGCCTTGTCTTGAAAGGAGCAGCAAATACGAGTGAACTCCGGCCACTCTGCCCAGAAGACAAGCTGTTGCCAATAGCGGTGGAAATCAATGCCAAAGAAATTCGATGCAGAAAACGTTCACAGTTTCATTAACCTCTGCCTTTCCTTAACTGACCAAGAAACAGGAAAGGTAGCTAAACATAACGGTGAAATTTCTGTATTATTAATGGAACATGCATGAGTTCTTTACTCTCTGCCTTCGGTGATCCTTTTAAACATAAAATTTATTTGTTCATCTGATAACATTCTCATCTGCTATGTGCACTATCTAACAACATCAAAGAATATCCATGAAACATGCACTTGTAACCTAACTTGCTTTAGCTACTTCTTCTTACATAAAACTAACAAGCGTTACACAGATGATGATTAGTGTCCGGCGCCTTTCCCGCTAGGTCCAGAGGAAGCCACCTTATACACCTGCCGCTTTGCTCCAGAAACCTGACCACCACCAGCGTCGTCAACAGACTCTGGATCAACTGAAACTTTCATGTTGGTTGACACAGAACCAAACCCGCGGTCATCGATAGGATCAGTAGTAGCATGGTGATCATCGTTCTCGTTCTTCGTTGCTGATGCAAGAGCTCTAGAATCAACGAGACTTGGGTTTGTAACAAGTAGGATCATGAGCAAGATGAGTACGGTCAAACAGAAGTGTCCCATTGTTTGATATGTTGAAGCTGTTGGGTTATGGTTTTTTGAACTCTAATATTATTAGCAGCTCCACCTATGACAACCCTTGAAATATTCCCTGGAGACCCAAAAAGAGTGGAGCTCCTTTTTTGTCTTTTGGTTGGGGCAAAGAACGGAGCTGAAGGAGTTGATTTGGATTTTCGAATCTCCATTGAACAGGTTACCAACCTTAATTTATACACACAACTCGCATTAAGGGATAGTTTGGGTGGCACAGGACGGAGGGGGCTTTTTCTGAAATGGGACCGTTCAACCAAGAGAACATTTGACTAGAAATTCTCTTCTGTTTGTTTCGAAGCAAATTTCACTTTCACACTTGTGTCTTTCCGTTCCTTTTGTCTCTGAAATTGATTTACCACATTTGGAAACACAGGTGGTGGAAGTTGATTATTCGTTTAGGCCACATCTCCATCTTCCATAGCAATTCATAAAGGTTCTTTACTTTGTAATAAAAAAAAAAAAAATCAATTTGATACTTTTTATACCGTGGATGTAAAGGTTCCTTGTTTGCAATAAAAAAAACAATTTAATGTTTTTTAAATCATGTATTTATAAATACATAATTAGTTTGTTGTGGAAGGGAATGTAATTAAATCATATATGATTAAGTTTTGATCCTATAATATTTCATTATTAAATTATTTTTAAAAGTAATTTGATGACTTAAACTTTTAAAACAATTTAAATTTTTAAGTGGGGATAATTTTTTAATATATTATCAAAACCAATGATTTTTTTTATTGAAGTTATATGTTAAATTTTACTTTATTGATTGTTATTACTATGACTCATTGATACCGGTTGATTATTAGTTTTTTAAAAATTTATTTGTTTTTTTTTACCATTCTTGTTCTTCCCATTTTCTTTCTATCTTCACTATAGATCCTTTAGAAGAAAATCATATCACTATCAACCCTTATATTTCACAAGTGCTCTAAACCCTAGTTTTATATTTTTTTTTTAATTTTAGATTAACGTGGGTGTCCGGGCCAGCTTGCGCGTACCACGACTAATCCCACGGGCCCTGAAGTTAACGACCATGTAAGCCTCCAGTGGCCATCATATGAGCAACCAAGGACTCGAACCTGAGACCACAGAGGGAGCAAACCCCTTGATCCCAAATCCTTACCACTTAGCCACCACCTAAATGGTTAATTTTTATTGACGTTGATCTATGCTTTTTGAACCTTCCGTAAACAATGCTTGATAATATTGCAACGTTCTTTGATGGTGCTCTATCTCATCTATCTACATACAATGCAACCAATCCCTACACATAATCCACATTTACTAAGTTTTATTAGTCATTTATATTATTTTAATAACAAAATGTTATGAAGGCCATCGATCTGCCATGTTGTCAATTACTTGTTTTAAATAGTAAATAATAATTTCTACTATGTTTTTCTTTTATGTTAAGGTAGCGTGAGAAGAGTGATCTCGTTGAAATGAAATTGTTATTTTCCTTTTAAAATTAAAAGCACCGATTTCATTACCTAATTTGGCTTTTGTGCTTAGTAAATTTTTAACTCCCAGTCTTTATTCAGTTATTACCGAAAGGCAGCAGTGGAAAAGAAATATGTAGTACTTAACTAGCTTAGATAATCTGCATTTCGCTGCGCCGCCGGGATAATTTTTCTCACAACGTGAAAATAATATATATATATATATATATATATAATTTAATTAAAAAAAATTCTTGTAAGAAAAACGAAAAAAACCTAGGGTAACCTCTGTTTTTTATTTAGAGTTGAAAAAAAAAAAAACTAACCTCTGTTTTTTATTTAGAGTTGAAAATTTCATAAAAAGCAGGAACGAATGAGACTGAAAAAAAATTTAAAAATATAATAAATTTAAATTAATCTTCCAAATTTATAATTTATTAAATTCCATACATCAGGTCAATAAAAAAATTAAAAAAAAATTAATATTAAAAAATAAAATAAATTAATTTAATTAAAAATAAAATTCCTCTTAAAAAACAAGATTATGTAACAAAGACAAAGACAAAAAAAACCTTAAGGTCATATCAGGTGTATTTAATATTAAAAAATAAAATAAATTATTTAATTTAATTAAAAAGATTTAAAAAAAAATAGATTTAGCAAAGACTAAAAAATTAAAACAGCTTGTATTCTTCTCAATGATTGAAAAATCCTGTTGAAAGCAAGAAAAAATATTAGAAAATAAAATAAAAAAATAAACTCGAATAAATTTATTAAACTCGAATTAATATCTCAAACTCATAACCCATTAAACTCGACATTTAAGTTTAATTTAAGTTTAATCAAGAAATTTAATATCTTACAAATTTAATGTCGAATGATAAAATCGTAGAAAAAATAATCAAATTAAAAAATATATTTCAAGGTAAAAGAATAACAATAATAATAAGAATGAAGATGAAATTCAATTGTAAAAAAATTCAAAAAGAATGACATTAGGAAAAAAAAACATATATTAAGCTATTTTAAATAAAATAAATAAGAATTAAAAAATATGTTCAAATTTAACATATAAAAAATTTATGGAAGATAAAATTAAAAATAAATTTTAATTTTATAAATTATTTTAAATAAAATAAAAATTAAATTAAAAAATAAAAATTAAAGAGTTGTATTGATTTTTTTAGTGCTCATAGGATGAGAGAGATTGGGAGGGGTGGGGACCGGAGATAGTGAAGTTTACATGCGTTGTCTCTTGACAAGTAAAGATGATCACCTAGAGGATTCTAGAAAGCCATTGCATAGACAAGCACATCCTTGTCGCATGCCCGCTGTAACATTCTTTTAAAATAACTATTTAAATTTAATAAGTTATTAGGCATAATTTTAAAATATAATTTATATAATTTTTAGTATATTTTATTAAATGAAATTTTTTTTAATTTAAAACTTATAATAATTTATATTATTTTATATTTAAATTTTATTAAATAAATAAAAATAATAAAATTTAAATTCATAATAATTTTATCATCAAAATTCTAATATCATATTAAAATATTATTTCAATTTAATAATTTATACTATTAAATAAAATATAGTATCTACTCTGTATTGTTGTCTAATAATTCTTGAGTCCATGTATTCCTCCCTATAAATTATTTAAATAATATTATATTTAGTAAAATACACATCAGCCCCTCAGTCAAATCGGTTATTACTGAAAACCGAAAGGAAAATACCCAAATGCTTGTGCATGCCGGCTTCTTGCAATTCAACATGAAAAGTGAAAAATATCCCAGGAGAGAGAGATCTATGCCATTTTACTTTCAAATGCCAAAAAAAAAAAAAAAGCGTGTAGACCAATCTACCGCAATTAATTCGGCTATGCCCAGCGAACCACCTGGAAGAGATGAAGATGCCCTTGAGAGCATCCCTTGTTAGTTCTGTCAATAAGAACAAAGACATCAAGAACACTGTTCCAATCCTTGTTGTTTCGAGTCTATGTTCACAACAGATAAATTGACTTCTTTTAGCTTTTTTTAATATAGCTAGGATCATCTAGTTAAGATTTTTAGTTAGAAATAAATAAATGAGCAATAAATTTAATTAGTAAATTAAATTAATTCAGCTAGGCCTTGGGCTTTAATTACTTTGCATGGTCTAAAAGTGAGAGATTAACTAATTTAAACAGCATCAAAATGAAGGAATAACGGGAAAGAGAGTATTTTGGAGATATAGATTGAAAAGGGATAATAAATTAAACACTTTTAATATGGTGAAAGCCGCATAATTACAATTTGGGAATGGGAGGTGAAGAATTTGCCGCTGTTGATACCTCTTCCATTTCAGTGGTTAAGGAAGAAAGTATCATCAACGGTCAAAGAGGACAGTAGAATCATGGAACAGCCAGGACCGTCAAAACGGTCAAAGAGGATAGTAGAATCATGGAACAACCAGGACCATCAAAGTATAATCAACGGTCAAATAGGATAGTAGAGACATGGAACAACCAGGACCACCCAAACCTCCTTTTACAGAGTTGCACACTGTCTGTGTTCTAAATTGTTGGTGTGGACGTGAAATCTGAGAGCAAAAACCATGAATTATTATTATTCCTTTTTACTTATTCACAACTCTTCTCCGAAAAAGGAACGGTGAGCTAAAGACATGATCAACGAGTCAAGATGATTCTACGAGTCAAGATGATTGAGAATTAAATCGTGGGTACGAAGTTTCTCTTGAGAAGGAATAGGAATCTTGTTAGTGTCTTGAGTGAAAAGAAAGACAAGGCAAACTTAATTTTAATCTCCGTGGGCGTAAGGCTTAGAGGGGAGCTTTCAAAAACGTGTGTTCCAAATTTATTTTTATATTTTAATGTTTTTGTGTGTTCCAAATTTATTTTTATATTTTAAACCTTTTTTTATATATTTTTACTCACTAAAAATATTATTATTATTGTTGTTTATGATTAGTAATTCTATGAAAGAAAGAATATTATCTATTAATAGATTATCACAAAATCAATTTTTTTAAAAAAAAACTAATGTAGAATGATAAGATTGTAAAATTAAATGAGACTTTTCAAATATATGACCTGAGTTATAAGATCAAAAACATTACAAATTTAAAAAAACAAAACAAAATTCAATTCCCAAGAAATAAAATGTCAAATGATAAAACTAGGGAAAAAAACAATTAAAAACAATACAAAAGAATGGGGTTGAAATCAAAATAAAAAAAATAAATTAGAGGAAAAACCAAAAATTTCAATTGGAGGATTAAATTGAAACAAAAAAATAACTTGAGAAAAAGAAAAATAAATCAAAAGAATGAGAGTTAGATTGGAAAAAAAAAACATAGACTTTGATTGAAAAATGGAATTGAAAATCAATAAAACTTTAATAAAAAGGTTAAGGGAAAAAATTAAAAATTAAAAGAATAATGACCGAAATGAAAAAAAAATTAATAACATATAAAAAAGTGTAATTGAAGGATTAAATTAAAAACAAAATAATTTTTTTATAAAAAGGATAAGAACAAAAATAATAAATCAAAATAATAAAGACTGAAATTGAAATACAAAAAACAAAGAGAACAACCATGTATTTTACTAGCATGATAGAGAAAGAAAGGGAAAAAAACAATTATCGGTGATTAACCGCTCATAATCCATCATCATGTGCCGCATCAGGAGGAAACAAATGTAGTGGCGCTTCTAGAGATATGACATAAGGTCAAATTTGGATATTGGATGGCATACCATGCAATGCCCAAAAGACATAGACGCATCTTATGCATTGACGCTTAATGAGCATACGCTAGTAGCTTATAAGAAAAAATAAAAATTCAATGTAAAAAATACCAAAAAACCCCTAATTACCCTGAAAATCACAACAACACAAAAACCAAATATAACTTTTATAATATTTAGAGAATTGTAACATATTGTT